AACAACAAAATATATACAGGTATACATGTATATATATTTTTTTTAGACATCAAAGAGAATCTCCTATTTATATCACTCATATTCAAGCTCATTCAGGCCTTCTGGGACCAATGTCACAATTAAATGATAAACTAGATCAATTATTGGTAGGAATGTTAAAGTTAGTGAAGATTTTCATCACCATACTCATTTGAATATTACACAGCAACAAGCAGCTCAAGAAATTATATGAGGATGTCCTCAATGTGGTCCCATTAATGTACCACCCTATGAAAAAGGAGTTAATCCTAGAGGTGATAAGGACAAAATGTACTATGGCAAATGGATGTTACTCATATTCCATTATTTGTGAAGTGACAATATGTTCATCATACTATTGACACTTTTTTAGGCTTTCAATGGGCCACTGCTTTACCAGGAGAAAATTCAGAGTATGTAATAATCCAACATTTAATTGAAATTTTTAATGTGATGGGCCTTCCATCAAGTATTAAAACTGATAATGCTCCTGCTTATAATTCTAAGAAAACACAAGAGTTTCTTAAAAAATGGAACATTAATCATATTATTCGTATTCCATATAACCCCCAAGGACAAGTTTTAATAGAAAGGGTAATCAGACTTTACAAACTATGCTGAAAAAACAGAAGGCGGGGTGCAATGGAATGAATATCATCTCCTTGAACTATTTTACAAAAAGCCTTATTTACTTTATATTTTTTAAATGCTAATGAAAAAGGGTCGCTTCATAGGGTCGCTATGAGTCGCCTGCGACTCGGCGGCACTTAACAACAATAACATCAACAGAAAGAGAAAGAGACAGAGAGAGAGAGAGAGATCAGCTGGCCCAGTGAAGAGAAAACGGTGTGACCAAGACAAAGGTGGGTGACTTTTAGTTTGTGGCCCTCCGGCCAGTCTTTCATTGTTTTTGTTCAGACATTCCTCTAGGTCATATAGCCCTGGTGTACAGTTGCCGTCCCGTGGTCACTCGTGGTTGCAGTGAGGCTGGAACACTGTGACATGGATGTGTCAAATGTGTTAATGGTTGTCTACCCAGTGCGAACTGAGAGTGGGATGGAGCTCCCCGATTAAACAAATGTGGAAGGAGAAGTAGCGTCCACTTCCATAATAGCTTGCCTCCTGAAACCCTATGAACCTGGAGAGAGGATGAAAGGCACCCAAGCATCGAGGACTCTCCTTCATAGGGTCACTATGAGTCGCCTGCGACTCGACGGCACTTAACAACATAACAACAACAACAATGAAAAAGGAGAAACTCCAGCTGAAAGACATTGGGTATTACAATCCTCTAAAGAATTGAATCAGCCTATATATTATAAGGAACCTCTAACTAATGAATGGAAAAAGGGATTTGTTATTAGGTGGGGGGCGAGGATTTGCTTATGTCTCTACAGGATCAGAACTGCTGTGGGTGCCCTCCAGAAACTTGAAATCCCGAGATGAATCAAAACAGGCCACACTTTGACAAGGACGAAGCTGCAGAATGGCAGATAATATCAACTATTGGGCATATGTTTCTAATACTATCTTGTTAAAGTTGTTCATTGGCTTTATAAAGTTTTGGGGAATAATATATCTCTCTAGTAGATGTTTCAAGGATATAGTTTTCATGAAGATATCAGTAACAACTTCAGATTATCCTGACATTCCTCCCTGTCAGTTGCTTCCTTTATCTTTCTTAGAGTATGGATACATTGGAAACAATGTTGAATAGAGCAAAGACGAGTTTTAATTAATACTTCCTATGGAAGCGTCATTGATTGGAGCCTTGTTGGTTTTGCTCGTCAGCATAGCAACATCAAAAATTTTAGTGTAAGCAAGGCAATGGATTTATAACTGCTCATGCTAATAACACTATATCATGGCATGGAGGAGAAATAGTGGTACTGTATCCACATTTACAGTATTCTTCTTACCAAAATAATTTACAAAAATTAGGAACTGCATTGGAATATGTATCTCTTTGGACTGGAAATTATTCGTACAATCAATCATATTGATAATATTAATAGCCTTAAACATAAAAGATTATATTGTTCAAAATGATTTGTTATATATTTGTTTAAATTTTTCCCTCTTTTAACAACTGGGATCTAGAGGGAAAAGACCAGAGAATGGCCAAAATTATTGGGACAGCTATTGCTGCCACTTTAGGGCCTGTGTGAGGAAAAAGAAGTGTTACTCATAAACAATGCCACCCAAGGGTAATAAAGGAGGTCAGAATTGATTCAACTATGGAAAGGTGGGCCACTTCAGTAAACAGTGTCACAGATGAGAGCCACAGATAGGCAAGGGGGTAGAGAGGAAGCTCCCACTCACTTGCTTTAAGTGTGGATCTGAAAGACACTTAGCCAACGAGAGTCCACATCAGGTCCTCATGGCCAACAGATGACTTGACAGGCCCCAGCTCCCAGCTGGAAACAAAGGAGGACTCTTCAAGGATTCAGATCCTCCCAGAAGAGCCATGGGTGAGCATTAACATTGCTGGTAAGTATATCAGTTTTCTCCTGGACACAAGAGCCTATATTATTCGGACTTAGAGCCTTCTCAGATCCATCTCTTCTCGCTATTCCTTCCTTAGTTGTTGGAATAGACGGAAAACCTCATAAGCAGTTTCTTACTGCACCTCTGCTTTGCATGTGGCCTTCTTAGCTGTAAAACAACCCAATGGAATTTGGTCCAGGACTTAAGAACAATAAATGACATAGCTGTGCCTCTATATCTTGTGGTTCCTAGCCCTTTCACTATAATAGACAAAGTGCCAGCCAATAAGACTTTTATTTTAAGGATTATCTTCTTTCTGTAACTTGATTTGTGCCATTGTTAGAACTTCTAGTTGGAATATTATTGCTTTTAATTTTTGACTCATGTACTTTTAACTTGTTAGTTAAATTTGTGTTTTCTAGGCTGCAACAGTTCCAGGATACATCTTCAAGGATATGAACGTGCATCCCTAAGCACAACTGATAACAGTGCATCTAAATTCCAAAATCAATCTCTGCAAAAGTCTATGTGTTTCCTGCTGCCAAAGGGCCCTTCAGAGTAGTGAGAGATCTTGACACTAGGTTTCAGGGTGAAATCTCTCTCAGGGAGGAGTGATAGGGAATGGCAAAGGACATGCTGACAAAAGAGATTAATAAGAACTGTTTTGGTTTTTGTTTGCTTGGTTTTTTTTTATTTTTTATTTTTTATGTGTGTACTGTCAAATCGAATCTGACTGGTACAGGAGGCAATTGTTCCTCCTTCTTCAGCAAAGCATCTGGTGGATTTGAACTGCACATCTCTGGGATTGCAGTGCAGCTTCTTGCCACTAAGCCACCAGAACTCGCCAAAGGAGATTAATCAGAACTGTTTTTGACAAGCACTGTGGCAATGGGACAATTAAAACAGACTCTCAAGGAATATTCAACCTGAATTCTTCTGATCATATGGAGATTTTTTTAAAGTATTTCTTTGGGTTTATTATGTTTAATCTGTTTTGTTTGTTTGTTTATATATGAAGGATGGAGAAAACCAAAACAAGCAAGAGTGAACCAAAGAAGAGAAGATGCAAGTCTAGAGGATAACATAATTATGTTAAAAACAAAAAGGGGGAAATATGGGAAGCCAAACTTTATACCAAACATTATATGAAAACCCTTGTTCAGGAATTGAAGGAATTACAGATTTATAAGTTAGGATTTCTCTTGTGGCAGATCCCAGAAAATGAGCTGTTTGTTCCCTCTAGACAGGAGACAGCTAGGGCCCCCCACAGAGTGGTACTTCCTCTGAAATACTTCCTCAGCTAGAGCATTAGGCTGACAATAGAAAAAAATTCGCTTTCATTTACAAGGAATTCCTTTTGTTATTTGCTCCCCCAGATTATCAATAAATACACAGAGAAACATGGCTTGGGGTCTTCAGTGGAGAACTGCTGGCCCCCTGTTTTATATTCTCTGTTCTATCTCATTCCTGGTTGTTTGTCTCATTATTAATAATTATAAAATTATTCCATCCTTTGGGACCCTCAGTCTGCAAAAGGCCTTGGATAAGGCTTTTAGTATTCCTATTTGTTGTTGTCCCTTCCAATATTTACAACATTCTAAGACTTCTTCAAACAATTATATGATGAATCAAGTATTTCAAACCACAGTAATGCATAGTTACAATGTCAACTAACCTTTTGACACTAGAGATCATCAACTTTTAATAAAAATGTTGGTTAATAAATATTTCAGGCCTACAGGCTTCACATGTTCTGACTCACAGTAAAGTGAGAATGGTTCAAGATGTACTAAAAAAAAAAAGATAGTATGTCACTGTGTTACAGTGAAACTGTACTGATAAAAACATGGCACCATATTTTTCAGCTCTCCTGAAGCCCTCCATGTGGGTATACAACTATGCCAAAAGCAAAGGACAGTTATGCTGAACCAACTCCTGTATCAACTACTCACCATTGTGATCACAGAAAAATCCACACAATTCTCCATATTTCAAGTTCCCAGTAATCTATCCATATTTACAAAATACTGTTGAGTCCTAGCATCTCCGATATGAAACTGAATGCAAAATTTCAATCTTTTTCTTAAACTCCCCATGTTTAAAATTAAATTCACAATATTCTTTCCTCTTAGTATTAAAAAACAAACAAAACACTGAATCTTCTTACTTTTGTCAAAAAGAACATATTATTTATTCTCTCAAGTAACATGTACTTAAAAACATCTCTAACTTTTCATGGGTTTCCCATAAACTTTTCATCTAAAAGACTACAGTGTCACTATAGTGGAAATTTTCTTTCCATTTCCAATGCCTTTACCAGAAGATACTTTGACTACGTAACTCAAAAACATGTCCTCCATCTCCAGGGTCTCTGTCCCAATATTAGCAAATTTCACAAGTAGATTTTGCTTGATACTAAGTAATCTTTCACATGGCCTCCAGAAATTCTCCAGCTACTCTGATACTTCCTATACTCTCACTGGGCAAAAAGTGCCCCAGCTGATGGTCACTTCCTGTGCCCTTTGGTTACCTCCACCGGGACAGAGACTTCCTCTCATATATACCGTCTGTCATGTTCCTTACAGGCTGCCCCTTCCTTTAATCTCAATTGTCTTTCTATTTAGCATGACTCACAATGAAATTTTTTGATAACCCAGGCTCATGGCTCCATTACAACTTTAATAAAAATGTACAAGTTCATTTCCTTTCTTCACCATGATTCAAGAAAGAAATGACCACAGAAAAGAACTATCTTATTGTCGTTATGCTCACCACAATACTCAACACAATGTGAATCAACAGCACATGTCATTATTGTGTTAGGTACTATCAAGTAGACTGACTCAGCAACCCCATGAACAATAGGTAGCAGGTAAGATGAACACACACACTGATGAAAAAATAAACAAAGCAATGTGTTTTCCTTCTTGAGTTTGTCATTTTCACATTTTCCTTGTCTCATCACTTTGATCACCTCCATGATAGCCCATTACAGGAATACACACCATGTAATAGTAAATATTGAAACTATCTTTAGTTTTTCTACACAAAAAAAATACCAGCAAAACAGCTACTAGAAGCATTCATATTTCTATATCTTCAAGCCTTTTATAAGACAAATTCCCAGAAGATGACTATACGTTGGACCAAGTCTGACACATTTGCTCAAATGTCTCCCAAGCACTTGCATCAACTTAAATTCCATCAGCATTGTTTTTAAACTGTGCTCTTTGGTGTGAACTGTGGAAATGTGAGGGTCCTATTAAAATAAAAGAAACATTCAGTTATATCCAAGTGTGATCTAAGCACCCTCAAAGCTAATAATATGTTCCTATATGACATTAATGCTGCCAGCAAATAGATCTTATTTAAGTGTAGCAGCCTTACCCACCAACTACTGTCAATCTCCTGTCTCATAGGGATGATGTCATGTACAGCTTCTGAATTACGAGATAGGCCAAACATCTTTCTATGTGTTTATAAGTCACTACTTCCACTTTCATTAAATACTTTTTCATGCCCCTTGCCTTTTTCCTATTAAGAATTTTTGTTTTCACCACAGTAAGAAAAAGATAAATAATCCAATTGCAAAATGGGCACAGGATATGGACAATTCCCCAAAGAGATATTCAGATGGCAAACAAACACATAAAGAACTGTTCAAAATCTCTAGCTTAGAGAGAGATGTAAATCAAAACAACTATGAGATATCATCTCACCCCAGTAAGAATAGCAAAATTTAATACTGAGCAAACAACAAATGTTGGCGAGGTTGTGGAGAGACTGGAACCCTTATTCATTGTTGGTGGGAGTGTAAAATGGTGCAACCACTACGGAAGGCAGTATGGTGCTTTCTCCAGTTTTTTCCTCTTGATTTCCCCAAAAAGTTGGAAGTAGAAATATCAACTGACCCAGCAATTCCCCCACTGGGAATATGCCTTAAAGAAACCAGAACTGCCACCCAAGCAGATGTATGCACACCCATGTTTATTGCTGCTTTGTTCATAATAGCAAAGTTGGAAACAACCCCAAGTGCCCATCAACCAACAAATGGATAGAAAAGCTGTGGTACATTCACACAATGGACTATAATGCAGCACTGAAAAACAAAGAACTAATGAAATATCATACAAAATGGTTGACCATGGAGGACATTATGCTGAGTGAAATCTCTCTGTCACAGAAAGACAAATACTGCATACTGCCACTGTTATAGAACAGGACTCATATTGGGGTTGGGGAAAACTAAGAAAAGAGGGGATAAATAATGTACATGGCATTGAAACAGACAAGGCGAGAGAACTGTTTAAAAGGAACATATGATTAGGTATTACTGGCACGTCAAGACTCCAGAATAAGAGTTGCATAGTTGGGGGGTGAGGGGGCAGGAGCAGGGGCAGGGCTGGGAGCTGTATAACAATGAAAGAATTTTTTTTCCCAAATAGAAAAGCAAACTGGGGGAAGAGGGGACTGGGAGGAAAATGTGTAACAATGAATCAATGGAAATTTTAAAAAAAAAAAAAAGAGTATGATCAAACCTGTTAACACCAAATAAAGTATACATTTTGTCAAAAAAGAAAAATGAACTCTTAGAAAAAACCGTGGAGTCAAAAGTAAAATTTTAATAGA